AGTTGTCTAGGTGATTAAACATTTAAGTCCAGTTAATCCTATGTTGAACTGTCGGTTTACATAATGTAAAGTAAACAATAAACACAACTCACAGTTTGTTGACAGAGAAACCGAATGTGAGAAAAATTTCGTGACCAAGTCAGTGATATCTACTATACCAATTCAACAAGTACAAGTTATACCAAACTCCGTACCCAATCAGACCGCTATTCTAGTTTGACGATCTACTGCTGTGAATGCTTCTAGTCTCATGCTAGACTTCCCGATCTACCTCCTGCAGCCCAAGTTGCTGTCCACTATAGCCTCCTAGTTTATAGCTGATTGTATCATCAAGTGGAATTCAAAAAATCGTCAGTTCTTGTCCAATTCACTGTGCTTGTTGTCCACCTATCTCAATTATCCAATAAGAGAGTCTGTTCCTCAACAGATTAAGGAACCAGGTGTTTTGTCTTTAGGAACCTTAATATTTTCCCCCAAAGATAGGTTAACGGATCACAAGAATTAAGTTGATGAATTCTCCAATTAATTTCGCATTGGATCACTTCAAGAATCTTGTAGATGTTATAGAGATGAAAGCTTAACGTTGCAACCTGTTTTCTTATGACCCCAACTTGTTCTATTTATACTTGGGGGTTAAATGTATCTTGGTTCGTGTAAAAATCTTGAAAAATGCGAATTAGGATTTTTCGGATAGCCCTGTCGCTTGAGCGACATTCCAGCAAAAAGCGAGCGATAGGTTTTCTCTCGAGCGATACCTGGACGAAAAGCTAGCGACGATGATTCTGCTTTTTACGCTCGAGCAATGGCGGGGCGAGAAGCTAGCGAAATTCCAATACCACATTCTTAATTTGATCCTTAGACTCAAACCCTAGTCCCTAGCAACCAACTTACAAAATTGCAACCTAAGTCCTTGACTTTTACAACATTGTTCAATTGAGTCCCTGACTTTTATAGTTTTACAATTAAGCCCATTTTGTGTTACAGAATTGCCAATTACAATTTTTCAGACCTAACATCTAGGCTTGCCGAGGCTCTGGACAAATTGAGCAACCCTCAATGATTTCACGATGTATTCACCCATTTTTCCACTTGGACAAGGCGGTGTAAGATACATTCTTTAAGATGTTATCTTATAGTATCATTGTGAGTGATTAAATTAAAACTAAAGTATCGATAAAAATGTATTTTAAAATAGTGTATTGATGAAAAATGTGTGGTTAAAAAGTAAGGAAAAGTTTTGAATTTGTGTGTAATATTATTTTATTAAAAAATGTATAGTTGAAATGAAATGAAATCATTGTTTATAAAAATATATATATTTTTTAAAGAATGTAGCTCAAACAGGGCTATAATATATAGAACATATAGAATGAGCGGATAACAAGTAGACAGTAGTTGTTATCTCTAATTTATTAAAATATCACATAAAGGGAGAACTTTTTTTTTAGACAATTTTAACTCATTACAATTCAATTATTTCAATGATACCCTACTTTTCCTTTTTCGATATATAATAAATATTACAAAATTATTGTCATTTATGAAATTTGTGTTATTAATTCTCAATTAATTAGCATTCACATTGATTTAGATTCATCATTTGATAAATATTGAATTATATGAATTTAAAGTTATTAAAGATGAATTTATTCATATTCATATATATAGAAATTTTAATGAGTGTTTAAATTTATGTATTAACAATTAAATTTTATGTATCAAATGTAATTAAATCAGATTTAAGATTCTCTAAACTTTTTACATCGGTTGTTAGCCTATATTTGGCTCGTGTTTATAAATCAATGTTCTAAATTACGTAATGTGTTGAATGCATTTCAAGCGAGTATCAAACATTATAGGATATGTGTGCCCATACGAAGGCATTTTTTTAATTTTTATATTGTTTTAAATATTTTAAATAAATAAATAAAATCATGTATTCTTTAAACATTATGCATATTTAGGCCTTGTTTGAGCCTAATTTTTTGGGGAGAAAATGAATTTTTGAATAGTGTATTGATGGGAAATGTGTGGTTAGAAAATAAGTAAAAGTTTTGAATTTCCGTATAATATCATTTTATTGAAGAATGTGTAGTTGAAATAATGTCAAAATACTGTTTAAGAATGTATTTTTTTTAAAAATAATGGGGCTCAAACAAGGGCTTAAAATAAATATTTGCTCAAAACTAGAAATACTACAATACTTGAACATATTCTTCAAATTTTTAACAACAACGTAGTACTCCAAATCACAATTACTTGACAATTAATTCCTACAATTATATTAGACACAAACATTAGCTTAAAAATTCTAAATATTGTTTAACTCTTTATCAGACTCTAATTAAAGCTCCTTTTCATCCAAGTCATCTTCCGTATTATTCGATGTAAAATTATCTTCATCGGACTCCCTTATTTTAACTGAGAAATTTCTATTACATTTTTTAAATTGTGGTTATTAACCTTCCCATCCTCATTGCAACAACCAGCAATTCAAGATTTCTTCATCACTAGCATCATTTGATAGTAAAATTAAAGAAAATCGAAGAAGGAGGAAGCTCATGCTCGGTGTATATAGTTTGCAAACCTAAGAAAAATTTGTTTTAATTTTTTATTCTTTTTTTAAATTTCAAAACCCTGCAGATTTGTATATCATCCATGGGTTTGGGTGATTTGATTTAATTTGATGTTTGTCGGACTCGATTTGCATTTTTATTTTTATTATTATTTATTTATTATTATTATTATTATTTTTGGATATGGTTTAGGCTTTGTAAGGATAATTTTCGTTCAATTTTTAACATACATACATGCGTATTTTGATGTTTAAGCATGCATATGCTTCAATAGAATGAGTTGACCGCATTATTATATGCATACCCCACATGTGAGGCATTTCAAAAACGCACTGAGAATATGCGTGCATTTTAGAACTCTTTTATAAATAATTGAGTTAATTTTTACGTACACATTTTCTAGAGACTCTCAAATACTATACACTTATTCACTGCTTATTTCTATTTATTTAGAGTTAAAACTGTTTATAAACATTTTTCAAATATGCTTTAAGTAGTTTGGTAATTGTTCTGCTAATAGGGTTCTTGAAAATAATTTTCAACATCAACATCCAATATTACTAACTACTTTATGTTGATGAGGTAATTTCATTATTAATATTTTAAACTTTTAAACAAGTGTTGATCATGTAATTTAAATAAATATATCTACTTTCTACGATTTAAACTGACGAAGTGATGCAATATGTTCCAAAAGAAGTATATAAACACTAACAAACAACATATATTCAAACTATGTTATAAAACTATGAACAACATAGCATTTAAATACTAATTACACGCACTCTTTATCATGCTTATTAGATGAAAACATTTTAGTAGTTTTTTATAAAAGTCGATGGAATGAATAATGGAAGTCTCTAATAAAAGTTGAGTCCATTATCTAAAAATTTATTTATTTTTTCAAATTCATTTTCAATATTAAATTTTTTTCAATAAAATAACTTTGCACATAAACAGAAAAATATCACTACTTTTTAACTATATATTCTTCCAAAAAAATAAAATTCACTATTACGAAATTTGTTTTCCCTAAAAACGAGACATAAACATAGCCCAAAAAAATTGTTAGTCCCATGAAATGTTAGTTTAAAATTAATTGTTAACTTTGACATAAATTTTAGTTAATTTTATTAACAAAAAGGGACTTAATATTTGTCGCCTAAACTTCCATTTCATGACACCTAAAATTAACGATTTTGGCAACTTTGACCGTTAAAAAAAATTATGCCCCCTATTTAGGATGGCAGTTTAGGATCAACAATGAAGGACAGTTGAAAATGATAAGAGTAACATAATCATTTCTTCATCTAAGTCTTTTAATGCACGCAACTTTTTTACACGCGACGTGAACAGAAAACGTGCCATTCAATTACTACCAAAAAAAAATAATAAAAAAAGATAGATAAATATTAAAAAAAAAAATTAGTTGGAGAAATTTGTGATAAGAATGGAAGCTCCACCTTGCATAGCTAAAACAAGGCCTTAGGACACCCCCAGGTATAATCCAGTGGTACAAAGGGTAGAAGTGAGGTAGTTTTAGCCTTGCTGACAGCCGCAATGTAAATGTTCGATTCCTGAAATATAGAATTGGACTCTTTGTGGGCACTAGTATACAAGTAAACTCTTGTTTCCTGGCCTGCTGGAACACATCCCGCAATTTACCCCCTTCTAGTTGCTTTAGGAACGAGACCATGGGGGCCCTCAAGGTTGGTGTTCAACCTTTAACAAGGCCTTAGGACTCATAATTTGTTCAAACTTTTCAACAAAAAACAAGGCTAAACAATAGTTGAGGTTCATCAAATTTTAAAGTGTTTCAATTAAGTAATTAAACTTTGATTTCTTAGTAAATCAAATCATTCTGACTCTCATTTTTTAAATTATCATGTTCTTCTAAATTCATTTTTAACCATATATTCTCCAATACTATAATTTTACGTGTAACCTCAAATTTTTCCTTTTTTTTAAGAACACATTTTCTGAGAAATCATTATTACAAAATCTCTTCTTTCCAAATAAATAAATAAGGGACTCAAACAAGGGCATATATGTATGAGGATATTGTGTTTGCAAAAGCAATCAATTTTGTAATGTAAAATTTTCGCCGACATGGCATTTTCATGACCCACGTAGGTCGTACTTGCCATTTAATTTGATTTTAACGTTCATGAAAGAAAATCCCGTCATCCAATAGAGTGACTGAATTTAATACAAAAATAATATTTGATGACTTGATTAAGACTTTTTAAAGTTGGGTACTTCCAATACAATTTACTCACACAAGCAATGCCAAATAATTTTTGTATTTTATTGGCTACATCAACGGTCCAGATTGAATAAGACAAAGCCCAATGTACCCACAGGCAAACGCATCAATCATGTCATTCACCTAATCTGGAAAGTCTAATATTTCATTCTAACGTTGGATTATTGTTCTTGTTACTATCACTGTTAGTGCTAAATTTACTGTATTTCTTGTCCTCACATATGTATCCTATTATTTCCCTGCCATCGGACGTCATTATTCCATCAGATTCTTCAAAGGTTCACTTCTCATCCTTCAACCATTTTTTATTCTTGAATCTTTGTATCTAGTATTCATGTATGTGTGGTTTAACTGGGTTTTTTTGGTTGTTTCTTTTCTCGAAATGGAATGGGTGGCCCCGAATTTCTTGAAGGGTTTTGAGTTTTTATTTTCCGTTCTATGCTCTATTTCGACATACGTACTTTAAATGCTTGAAACGGCTTGGTTTATTAACTGGGTTTTCAGTCATTGATTTGCTTGAATTGAGATGGGATGTTATGAATTGGTAGAAAATATAATCTTTTCAAAAGTTCAAGTCGAATGAGCTAGCTCGTCTATGAAAGTTTCCAATTCTGTTGGGTGTAATTTAGGAGTTTAGGATATGAGGATGATGGATGGGACCCACTTTTAGTTCTTGGATTTTGTGTGCATACCGATAAGATACTTGGATATGGATTAGCTGACTTTTGGGTTGTTAATTTGCTTAAAACAAAAGGTGTTCTCATTAACTTCCGTGAAAAGATTGCATTCTTCAAGTATTAGGAGTATAAGAGCTATTTTTCTCTAACAAACAATACACAAAACTTTGTTCTCAATTAATTTGAAGTCGGCTACATGAATTCTTTTTTGCTAGTCTGTTGATCTCCAACTCCGAGATAGGCTGTGTTAACTATTTTCTCTACCGAGTTATTAAATTGTTGAGTTTGGCAAGCCTTTTTTTATTTTTATTTTTTATGCAATTTATTTTATGGTTGTGTTGAGCTTTGGAGTCCATAGTTTTACTTTGATGCCAGTATGTTTATTATGATTTTATGGCTCTCCTTTTACTGCATTATTTCATTGTTGATGTCAACTTCTTGTCAAATTTTCATGGTCAGCGGGATAATACTTTGCATTAGTTGGTTTCCCTTTCAAAAGTCTAGTTAAATTTTTCGTATGATATATTTTATGGCTCATCAAGTAAAATGTGACAGAATGTACTTTTGTGGGTTTGCTTTCACTTTGTCATTTGATATACCAAGATACAATTGACTAAAATTCAGTGAAAAAAGAAATGAGGAATAAGGTGGGCTCTAGGATTCAAAAAGATCAAGCATGAAGTGATGAAATGATGTTTAGACTTAAATAGTATGTGCACATATACTGAAGTTTTAAGAAAAGGTGTCTGATGAACCCTTGCTCTACAAAGGAAAGAAAAACAAAAGACTGGGAAAGAATGATAAGTAGATTGATCAACATGTGAAAATATGTTGAAGTGTGAGGTCTCAAAATGTTTATAAAAACTGTATAAACAATATAACGACTCAAAAGGGAAAATTTATGAAGTGTGGACGAAGACTGTCCAACATATTGGGATACAAAGAACTAAAGTATGCTTGGTCATTTCAATTATTACCGACTTATTATAGTAACATTGATTTGAAGTTTATTATGTGATTGCAATTCCCTATATTCATTAGGCTTCATAATCATTTTAGTTTCTATTTCAGTCACTACTTGTATTCGAATTTTAAAGTCACGAAACATAAACAAAGCCTTATTCCTGATAATTTGAGGTCAACTACCTGAATCATTTTCTACAATTTTGTATAATTCATTGCTTCATCAATTCGAAGATAGAGAAGAATTATATCCTTAACAACCACAATTATCCATGTTAGTTTTGTTACATCTCTTCTTCTTCTAATATGTTCTACTAAGATCATAGAGCCTGTTATGGGTCTATGCAAGAAATTTTCCATCCACTTAAGTCATGCTTTCTTAATTTGTTCACAATCCGTGCTACCTTATAGCAGTTGGTTTGTAGTCTCATTTCTTATCTCATCTATTGTAGTAAAATCGGACATTCATCTTAGATTCCTCGTTCCCCTATGTTCATCAATGTTCTTTGACTTACTTTTTTTTAACCTTATGAGGATCTTTTAACGATATAGTAGCCCTTCTCTATATCATCAGACACGCTCTTCTAAGCATTGATCCTCACTAATTCTCCTTGTCAACAATGGAACCTAAAATACACATAACAATCACTTTTTGAGACCACCGAATCCTTTATAGTTAATATAAGCCTCCGTTTGGCCCCCATTAAATTCCATTTCATTTTTCTCTTTCTTATTTTCAACTACACAATCTTCCATAAAATAATATTACACTTAAATCGAAAACTTTTCAATCTTTTTCAACCGCTCATTATAAAAAAAAAATAAAAATAAAAAAAAACTATTTTACCCGTTTTCATTTCAAAAAATGGGGGCCAAACGGGGGCTAAGAGTCATATATGACATAAAGGCATGGAGAGAAGCCAAACATTTTTTGTGCGATCAAACATAATATCCATGGCAGTTCTAAAGTTTTTGATTTGTTGAGTTGTACCTGTTAAAAACAGAGTCTGAGAATCAAGAAAATCATAAATTACTCTAAGAGGAATTAAATCAAATGAATGGAAGGCATAAAGATGTAGGAAGTTTTTGCACTACGTTTTATTCAACTGAGAGTCTTTATATACACATAGGAAAATAAGCACTTCCAATGTTCAAGGAAACAGAAAACCTAAACCAGAAGATATCTCCTAAAGTGAAGCATAAAACAAGGCACTAAGCAACAACCATTGACTCTTTCAAACACAAAATAAAAAGCATGAATAATTCTGACTAATTTATTTTTGCATTACGGTAACACATTCCCCCTTAATGCAAAAAATATACAACACCTAACTTATTTCTAAAATAAGCAAACTTTTCAAGAGGAAGTGACTTTGTGAATATATAAACAACTTGCTCATTTGAATTGCAATACTCCAGCTTAATACTTCCTTCAGCTACCAGCTCTCTTATAAAATGATGGCGAGTGTCTATATGTCTTGTTCGGTTTTGGTGAACTGGATTCTTTACTATCACAATGGTGGATTGATTATCACAATAGATGGTTGTTGCCTCCTTTTGCTCATGTTTCATATCTTTTAAAATTCTCCTTAACCAAATTGCTTGGCAAGCTGCTGAAGTAACAGCCATGTACTCAGCTTCGGATGACAATAGAGTGATAGAGGGCTGCTTCTTTGAACACCAAGATATGACATTTGATCCAAGCATGAATAGATAATCTGTAGTGCTTTTGCGATCATCTATGAACCTGCACAGCCGCTATCAGAAAAGCCACACAACTCAAAGTTATTAATGTTAAAGACCATAGGAGCATGTTCCTGTCAAATATCTTAGCACCACTTTGCAGCATCATAATGAATTTTGCTTGGATTCTGCATAAACTGTGATAGGAGACTAGTAGCTTGCAAGATGTCTGGACAATTGTTTGTGAGATAGAGAAGACTCCCCACCAAACTTCGATACACTAGCAAATCTGCCTTCTTTTCTCTATCATCCAAACTGTACTTATGATTGGTAACCATTGGAGTTTTAACTGGATTGTAATCTTTCATGTTAAATTTCTCAAGAAGATCTTTCACATATTTTTGTTGTGAAAGAAAAATTCCAGCATCCCCTTGTTTTACCCCCAAACCTAAAAAATAACTCATTAAACCCAGATCAGTCATTTCAAATTCAGCTACCATAATCCTCTTGAAATCATTAATTAAAGTAGCACTATTCCTGTATAGATCAAATCATCCGCATAAAGACATATAATCAGTACCTCTTTAGTTCCCTTGGTTTTTACATACAAAGCATGCTCACTTGCACTCTTTTGAAATCCATTTTTGATAAAGTGCCTGTCAATCCTTTCATACCAGGCCCTTGGTGCTTGCTTGAGACTGGAGAGTGCTTTCTTTAATTGATACACTTTCATCTCTTCACCTGCAACTTCATAACCTCTAGGCTCCTGTACATATACTTCTTCCTATAATAAACCATTCAAAAAGACTAATTTGACGTTAAATTGATAAACATCCCATTTGTAGTGAGCAGCAACTGATAAAACCGTTCAGATAGTATCAAACTTGGCTACTGGGGAGAAGGTTTCTTCGAAATCAATGCCTTCTCGTTGCATATAACCACGTGCAACTAACCTTACTTTGTATTTTTGAACTGATTCATCAGGTTTGTACTTCAACTTGTACACCCATTTTAGCCCCACAACTTCTTTTCCCACTAGCAACTCAACAAGTTTCCAGGTCTTGTTTTTTTCTAATGCCTTCATCTCCTCATCCATTGCATTACACCATTTGTTGTCTTTTACAGCTTTTTCAAAACTACTAGGCTCTTCTACTAGTGCAAGTTGACGCATTTCAGTTTGTTCATAAATCTCCTGCAATGATCTCCATTTTCGTGGGGGTGTGCTTGTGGAAGAAGAGTTTGGTGATGTTGAGTTGGAAGGACTAGAAGTGTTTGTACTAGGTGTTGAGGGGCTAGTACCAGGTGTTGAAGGACCCAAATCACCATGGCCACCACTGTCTTCTATACACTCTAATGGTTCAACAACAAATTCACCATCATCTTGAATAAGACCAGAACCTATCTGCAACTCAGTCCAATTCCATGCATTTTTCTCATCAAACACAACATCACGACTTATTAACAATTTCTTAGAAATAGGATTATAAAATCGATATCCTTTAGTTTCCATGCTATAGCCCACAAATATGCAGTTCACACTATTATCATCTAGCTTTTCTCTTTTTTGAGATGGCACATGCACATAAGCAACACAACCGAAAATTTTAAAGTGTGTTACCTTTGACTTCCACCCATGCCAGGCTTCAAAAGGTGTCTGATTGGACAATGCAGATGTAGGACTTCTATTGAGAATGTAAGTAGTAGTATGAATGGCTTCTGCCCAAAAACTCTTTGGAAGACATTTAGTTTTTAACATGCTTTTAGCCATTTCTACAAGACTTCGATTATTTCTCTCCGCTACTCTATTTTGTTGCTGGGTATAACTAGCTGTTAATTGTCTTTGTATTCCCAATTCTTCACACAAATTGTCAAATTCCTTCGAGACAAATTTACCTCCACGATCTGTCCGCAATATCTTTATCGTATGTCCACTTTGCTTTTCAATGGAAAACCTGAACTTTTTGAAGATTGGTAGCACCTCTGATTTTTCCTTAAGAAAGAAAACCCAAGTCATTCTACTGTAATCATCCACAAAGATAACAAAATACCTGTTGTTGTTAAGAGAAAAGGTGCGCATAGGTCCGCAAACATCTACATGTATCAATTCAGCTGGTCGTTAAACTCTCATGCTTTTCCCTTTTGGAAACGAGTCTATATGTTGTTTCCCAATCACACAGCTTTCAAACACATCAGTAACATGCTTTGTTATAGGTAAACCATGCACCAAATTACATTTAGACAACAAGCCTAGACTTATAAAATTCAAATGTTCGTACCTATGATGCCACAACCATTTGTCATCTTTTAATGAGGTTGAGAGTGCTTTCTTTTCATCATCAAGAGTGAGAGGAAACAAATTATTCTTGGCCATAGGAACTATGAACAACACGTTCTTCTTTGTCTTGTCTAAAAAAACAGAACATGAAAATCTTCGAAGAGAAGTGAGTAACCTTCTTTTAAAAATTGTCCAACACTTAGCAGGTTTGAATCCAGGTCAAGGACATAGAGAACTTCTCTAATACTGCTGTTTTCACGAGAATAAATCTTTACAGTAGCACTTCCTTGTGCTTCACGAACCGTTCCATCACCCATTTTTACTCTATGCTTTATTGATCTGTCCAAACTGATGAAAGCCTCCAAGTTTGCTATCATGTGATGGCTGCACCCACTATCCATATACCAAACATCTGAATCACAAAGTTTAGTAGCATAGCAAGCAAGAAACAAACTTTCACATTCCTCTTTGTGTTCTTGCTCAACAAACTTTGCTTCATTTTCTTTCAAATTACAAAACTTTTCTATATGGCCATACTTGTTACAATAATAACATCGAAACTTACGATTGTTAGCATTACCTTTATTGCTGGTTGTATTATGAAACTGGTTTTGGCCCATTACTCGTGCACGTCCTCTGTAGCCTCGTCCACCTCTTTTTCCTCGAAAGGAATAGCCTCCACGACCTATGTTGCTTTTGCGTTCTTGCAATGTGTTATTGTCTCTGAACAAGTGTAATTTGGTATGGAATGCCTTCTCAACATTGCTTTCTTCATAACCTCTCTGTCTATCTTCATGAGATTGTAGAGAACCCAGCAACTCATCAACTGTGAACACGGTTAGATCCTTAGAGTCTTCTATGGCAGCCACTACAGACTCATGTTTTCTTGGTAATCTCCTCAAAATTTTCTCAACAACCTTTTGATCAGATAGTTCTTCACCATATTTCCTAATTTTATTCACTACTTCCATCAAATTGTTAAAGTAGTCATCCATAGAGTCTGTATCTTTCATGAAGGAGCTTTCAAATTTCCTACGAAGTGTCTGAAGTTTGACGGTAACCACCTTGGCAGTTCCTTGGTAGCCATTCTTGAGTGCATCCCATGCTTCCTTTGATTTCGTTGCAGCTAAAATTCGAGGGAAGATCGCCTCATCCATTGCTTTTTGGATGAAAAAGAGAGCTTTGGTATCTCTCTTTCGAACATCTTTTAAAGATTCAACTGGCACACCTTCTTCAACATATCCTCTCTCTATCAATTCCCATAGATCTTGGGAGATGAACAAAGTCTTCATCTTTGTGCTCCAAACTTCATATCCACTGCCTTTAAAAAATGGGATTGATGGCAAGGTAGGATTAATCCCAGCATTGTTGTTTGCCATAATAACTTGGACCTTCTAAAGCTAGAGACCTGGCTCTGATACCAGATGTTAAAAACAGAGTCTGAGAAGCAAGAAAATCAGAAACTACTCTAAGAGGAATTAAATCAAATGAATGGAAGGCACAAAGATGTAGGAAGTTTTTTCACTATGTTTTATTTAGCCAAGAGCCTTTATATACACACAGGAAAATAACCACTTCCAATGTTCAAGGAAACAGAAAACCAAAACCTGAAGATATCTCCTCAAGTGAAGCATAAAACAAGGTACTAAGCAACAACCATTTACTCTTTCAAACACAAAATAAAAAGCATGAATAATTCTGACTAGTTTATTTTTGCATTACGGTAACAGTACATTATAATTAAACTCAGTTCAGGTGTAGTATCCGTTTGACAAAGCAGCAAAAATGTGCAGCTTATCTCTTTCAGCAAAAAGTGGAAAACTGATACATAGTGATCATATTTGGCATGTCATACATGTATACTTTTAACTAGTTTCAGCATAAGTTGAGAGTTGTGAATTCCCACAGTAGGCATGTCTTGTATTACAACAAATATGATTATTCAAACTGAAACTGAAACTGAGCTATACTGACATTTAGTTCAATATTTTCTGTTCCGGATGCTAAAGTGATATATGTTGAACAGCTGTGTTGTTGAATGGTGACGGTCATTGGGTTATGAAACAACAATTGTTCCTTTATTGAACTGGAAGCAAATAGTGCGCTATTAACTAATTTACGATAAGAAGAAATAATTTCAAACGGAGTCGCATGAAATGGATGTGTCTGGAGCTATGTCTAGATCTTTACCCATTTTACCTTCTCATTTGGAAGAGAAATATCCCAAGCTGCCAGATTCACCTCAGGTTACTTTAGCACGGGAACTGACTAGTAATCTCAAATCTTCTTGCCCCGCTGCACTGTCAGCTAACAACCAAACTGCGGGGAATTTGTTTTCATCTCCTTCTGGATGCTCTACCGATCTTCAGTCTTCTTGTATGTCACCTCAAACAAGTCGATTAAAAGCTTCTCCATTCATTTCTAAGTCACCGAATGAAAGAGTGTCTTTTGCATCAACCCAGCCTTCAGATGAAGTAAGGAAATCTAGACCATTGAATGGCTACAATACCAAGAAAGATATTATTTCTTGGAGTACAAATGCAACTGAGAATTTTCTCGATCTTTGCATGAACACTCCTGTACAGAATGGCCAAGTTGAAACTTGTACTGGTGTAATGGCTTCAGAAGACCGTACCAAGGGAACTGATTGGCATGATTGGGCTGATCAGTTGATCGGGGTTGATGATACACTGGACTCAAATTGGAGTGATATCCTAGTTGATGTCAATTTTCTTGATTCAGAGCCCAAGGTTTGTTTCTCATTCACAATAACTGCATTATGCTGGATGCTTTGAATTAACATTGACGAAAGTTGTAGTCATCAAATTGGGATGCAGAAATAGGTTATTGCACTTCCTGATATTTTTTCCCCAAAACCAGTAGTTACCATTATGTCAGTTCACTTAACAACTATATGAGAGGTTTACCACCGTTTTGAATTATAATGGAAGGTTACACATATCTCATAGAAAATGTAATTTGCACAATAAATAAAAAGGGAAGTACCAATTCTATGCTGCCCACATGCTCTTGAAGGAAGATTCTCATGGTGTCTATTCTCGTATTTCTTGTAAATACTTTTTCATTTTTATTATTTCATTAATTGTGAATGACTTGCCAGCTGCTGGACTTGCCACCTAACGTATCTGTGCATCCGACACAAATTAATCAGCAGCAGCAGCATCCTGTGTCAAGTGCGAAAGATTCTCCTGTAGGTAGCCTTTCTGGTGCTGCACCCTTGACTAAAGCTCGAATGCGTTGGACACAAGAACTTCATGAAGCCTTTGTGAATGCGGTCAATAAACTTGGTGGTAGTGAACGTGAGTAACTTGCTCATATAACTTTTCCTTATTTTTTGAGACTGGAGAAACCAAATAGTTCTCTGACTTGTAACACCCTCTTTTCTTTTCTTTTCTTTTTTTTTCTTTTTTTGTGTGTGGGTTTTAAAGGAGCTACACCAAAGGGTGTCTTGAAGCTCATGAATGCTGAAGGCCTAACAATCTATCATGTGAAAAGCCACTTGCAGGCATGTACACAGCACTTTTATTGAGATTTTGGTTTCTTGCAGCAAAAAAAATTTCTTTCGAACTTAATATGGTTCCTCTGAAATTTCAGAAATATAGAACTGCCAAATACAAACCAGAGACATCAGAAGGTAGGGGTCAAGTTGCCTCTCTAGCTGTGTGTTATTCTCTTTTGTGCTTGAAAGCATCTATGATGCCTTATTTCACTGAAAACTTTCACTTTCTATGCAATTTGATTTATAGTTTAGACAACAAACCTTGCTCAAGATTTAATGATCTCGAAGTTGCAATACGATATGAATATCGCAAGTATATCTTGGGTTTAGTGATAATACTCTTCTCATCGGGCATTCTTATAATTGATGACGTGGACTTATTAGAGATCATTTTCTTCTTAATTCAGGAACTTCAAAGAAGTCAAATACAATTGCTGAGATGACATCCCTTGACTTGAAAACGTGGGTCCCTCTCTCTCTCTCTCTGTCTGTCTGTGACATGCACACATCCATCCAATCGTTAATGTCCTACTTACATTTCTGGAAGGTTCCAGATAATAGGAATGATTAAAAAGTCAAATCACTCTCTCACTATCTCCTATTTTACATGAAGAATAAATACAATTCAGTGGAAGAAGGGGAAATTCGAAACTCACAAGACAAGCACTATGCATAAAGTAAGATAGCCTCTTATATTGGTTCCTTATGTTCCTTGACCCTGTTCACAGGAACCCATATATATATAGAGAGAGAGAGGCAATCAAAGCTTTGAACAAGCCTAAAATATTTTTTAGCGACAATCTTAGAGTATTCAATCAAATTTTTGCACAAATGCTAGTTTCTTTACTTGTGTATTTATTTACATTTTTCCATCTACATATGGTTATATCTGACAGTAATTTGTACATTGACCCTTTGTGTGTTTTAATAAAATTAAGGTTTTTATTAGGTTCCCAGAGTATAAGATGAAAACAGAAAGAGTTATTTGGAAGAATGGAGATCTGGGGTCTAAGTTTTAGTAAAATTAAGGTTTTTATGAAGTTTCCACAGTAAATAAGACGAAAACAGGAAGAGATATCAGATATATGGAAGAATGGAGCTGGGTCTATCTACTCTGAATATGATACATAGGCCAAAGAGTGGAGCGGCAGAGTGCATAGCCTATAGAGATCATTGAGTTGCTATTTCGTTCTAATCTAAACTCTTACCTATGGTGATTTTGATGGCAGGACAATAGGAATAACTGAAGCACTAAGAATGCAGATGGAAGTACAGAAGAAACTTCATGACCAACTTGAGGTACATAACTCATGCATAATGTTTTAGCAAAAGTTGATCATATTTTCTCGTCTTTTTGGATGTTAGCTTGCTAATTTTTTGAAAATCCAAATTTATTTAGGTTAAAGATGTTGACCCAACAAGTGTCATATAAAGGAGGGTGAACAGTAAGCTTGAAAAAAAAAATTAAAAACTGAAAAACAACAGTTTATATTTCAGTGCTGAAAGGAAGACTACATGCACTTACATAAGTCAACATAGTGGGTACAAGTAGAACTGTCAGAGGAGTTAGAAATCACATACTAAAATAAAATGAATTTATTCAATAAAAAACAAAGTAGTTATACAAATGCAACAAACAGGATGCAAAAGAATAGAAGGAGAAGACTGATCAATGACGACTTGAAATGTTTCTGTTGACCAGTGGACCTACATCGACTTCCAGGAAGTCTTCCCTATGGATTTTTAACTACTGTAGCAGCAGTACACTGAACGCCAATAACATCATGGATGGTGTTTTCTCAATTTAGCAAGTTCTTATTTTGCTTAGCAGTATTTAAGCATTCTATAAATACTTATATTGGCAGATTTATAATGAACCGCTTGCAAGATTGCAAACCAGGTTATTAAAAAATTTAATCAAATAAGAAAGACAGTAATAATTTAGAAAGATGAGAAAATGATAAAGCTCTAAATATAGGCGTTGGGGCTGATTGTAATAGTTTCTGTAATTATCTCAAAACACGCGAGAGAAATGCTTGTAATAATTGAATTTTGCACCTTGGGAAGGTTTAAAATCACTGAAAAATTCAAAATAGATAGTTGATCATTTGTGCTAGCAGTAACACATTCTGATACAACTTTTACACATCAGGGAAAGTAATTTCATTAGAAAATGAATTGATAGGCCTGATTTAATGGTATTTATTTTTCAGGATTGCAAACCTATCACATCGATATGTAGCTCTTTTTAGAATTCATACAGGCTCTGGCATATGCATTTGAAAAATGAAACTGGACTTCTGGACTTTTAATTTGAATGCTGAATCTGATTCTGGAAACTTGGAGTAGGTTGTAAATGTTGAGATCAATTTTAGGGTGTGTAAATGTACTTGGAAATTTTGCCAAATGTTTAAACCTGAACCTTATACATGTCATTTATAAATTGTTAAATAATAAAGTAAGTGCTTAGAGTCAAGACAACTTTGGAATTAATGGGATCTCATTCCAACAAAAAAGTCTTCTCTCTCTTATCCTCTTCCCTCAAGCCCCTACTCCTAACACAAACAGCAACAACAACAAAGAAAATACAGTAATGTACTAAGAAGCATGGATTCAAATTTGTAATTTGAATATGATACAATATGGGTACGTTGATACAACTTTTTTTTAAAAAGTATGATACACGGATACGTGTATGTATGTGATGTAAAAATATTAAAATAGAAGCATGATAATGAAAAATAAAATAAAATAGCAATGCATTTTATCTTAATTTTTAGTTGTCGCAGCTTCATTTTCTTCAACATCACTGAAATCAGTTTCTTCATTATCCTTAAAAAAAATAAAAATAAAAATAAATCAATCCTAGCTCATCTAATGATAGATTAGCAACCTCTAGTAGTCCAACATCTTGAGAGCCTCAAATAAGTATCTAGCAATGTCCCGCATTTCAAATTCTGTTTTTGAATAGAGATTTAATATTATCATCTATTTTCAATAATGAAATTATATGTCAACCATTAACACGATTTTACATGTATGAAAAGATTTAATAATATTGTGTATTTTCAATTAAAGAAAAAAACTCTAGCTGTCAATTAATTTAAACTCCAATTGTGCATTTTCAATAAATATTATCTATTTTCAATAAATTATTGATAATAGTAATAATTATATATTAAGTAAATTTTTTAATTAATCTATAGTCAATAATAATAAGTTTTAAAAGAGTTTAAAACTAATGAAACTCTTCTTCACATGTCCTAACATATCAAATAGTATTGGAAATAATTAAATAATATAAAATAATTAAAAAATAGGTATTCAATTCCTATAAAAAATTTCAAAAATATTAAATAATTAAAAACATGTATCGGTACGTATCAGAGAGTATCCAAGCTTGGAATACATATCGGACACAGGTACATAAGTATTCATGTTTCTTAGGTAGTGTATATAGAAAATATGTGTAGAAACGTTACTCTAAAAGAGATCTAGAACTCATGGTATTTGTAAGTATTTTAGACCCTCAAAATTCATGGAGAAAAATGTTATTCTATCTTACAAATCTATTTGTATTTCAGGATATTATTCCTATGTATTAATATGATCGAGTTATCATTTATATATCCCAATATTCTCCTACCCATTTAATATGAAGAGAGTAAAGAGTTATTGCTCAAATGAAATACTCTAGGCGTTGGCATGATTTTATTGGATTTCGCATGATGCACCTGTATTGATGCCACTTCTTCACAAGTGTATTTGAGAATTAGTGTTTTTCAAAGAAAATGAGTTTACACCACACTCACATAGGTAATATCTGTCAAAAGTGCTTGCATAGCTATTTCACGCAACTCAAATGAGCTATAGATTTTATTAAGATGAAGGGTTAAATAATAGTTCACTTTTATGGCCATCTTGCAATTCATTTTTCCCATTAACCGTAATTTTAAACATCTCTTGTCATTGAATTGAGTATTCTCTCATAAGACGTATGAATAATAGACACTTTTATTGGGTGGCTTGTTTGTTTTCCACTTGTACTGGACATTGATATGTGTAAAACACACTTCGTGGCATGTGTTTAAATTTTGAAATATTTTTTATATGTTAGAAACTCGAAGGACACTTTTCATACATGCCATTTGGCATATCCTATTCTTAGAATTGTTTATGGTTTTAATCGAGTGTGGAACATATCCTTAACAAATCAAGGACACAGTACCCCCATTTAGAATAGATAGATCTTATGCCGAATTTGATGTGTCTGTATCTGACTCTGTGCGTGGTGTGTGTATGCATGCATGCATGCATTTATTTTTCCCCTGAAACCACATATATATAGTATAAAACCATCTTGTACAATGAATAGTCACTTCTTTTATTAAAAATTGAACCTAAAAAGGTATTATTTCTTGAAGAAGATGTACGAAACAAAAATAATAATGTGCAATTGTATAATTTTTAAGCATTTAAGTAGTGTGCTTCCAAAATGCCCATTTCCTACTTAATTGACTAATCGTTGTGCTTCTTAGATAAAGGTCATTATACACGGGATTCAATTTCAAGCACCGGATCTCAATGTCACAAAATCATATAGCCTCTATAAATATTTCAAGATAAAATCTCAAAATAGGAATGTTGACCTCCTTATCATAAATCGTGAATTTGAAATTTAAGCATTATACACCAGAAATTTTCTATCTTCATTCAAAAAACTACTTGACAGGAATGTCATTTTCTAAAATTATAACATCAATCTCACTAACAATAGAAGTATCAATATTCTTGCATTTTCAATTTTCTCTAATTTGACAAAATCATTTGTGCTAATTAGTCTTTGTTAATGACCAGGAGCTGTTTTATATTCTTTTTTAGTTTCTACTAATGGCCAGTCGTTGTCTTTCTGTGCCTACTAAGAGTTGTTTCATGTTTTTCCAATCTTCTCAAGATAAATGTTAAGGGAAAGTAGTCTTCGCACCTATTACCACAGTTAAAGTTGACTTTAAATGTAACATGTAGATACTTATTTTTCTGTTTGGGTATGCTTATCTTTTCTTTTAGATAGAACTATTGTTCCTTTTAGTGTAAGGCCTTAATAAAATCTCGAATTTCTAACTATAACATATGAGCTCTTTGGATCTTCTTAAATTTGTTGTATTCTTTTTAAAATTGTTTGGAAAAAATTATAATTATATAGCAAAATACAAAAGTGTGATTGAAAAACAAATACATAATAGTTAAGCTGAAAGTGAGCTATTTCATCCTGGGTAGTGTTTATGGAAACGTAAACACATAATTTATTGACATTCTAATTCCAAGACGAAACTAGAATTAGTTTTGAGACTAAAGATGGACCTTAAGGCTATGTAATCCCACTCTTTGTGGGCTATAGTATTTTGTGCTCTTTATGGAGATTCAAGCCCTCTAAAATTCAGAAAATTCAAGGAATTGGTTATGGCTCAACTAAAACGTTGCATAACTCAAAATTTATATGCCCTATTGTTTGAGAGAGACAATATCAAATATATGTTAGAAAATTATTTGTATTCTACCATATTATGCCCCTATTTGGCCCCCATTTTTTGGTAATGAAAATGGGAGGAATAGTATTTTTATTAAAAATGAGTGGTTGAAAAAGAAGGAAATGCTTTCGATTTACGTATAATATTATTTTATGGAAGCTTATGTGGTTGAAAATAGGAGAGAGAAAAATAAAATGTAATAGAATTTAATTTAATGGAGGTCAAACAGGGGCTATATTTCTGGTAATCTACATAATTCGATAGTGCTCCTAACATCATACAACTTGTCTTTATCCAACCAAGTTTTCCTGTGAACTAAAATGATTAAACTTATTAAACTTTTTGTGAGGTTTCTATTGAACTATTGACTCTACTTATGAATGTGTTGAAGAAATTTTTGTCATGCCAAGTCCTCGTGGAATTTCATTTTGCAGTTCATTTGTGTGTACAGATAGGAATCATATTATTAAATGTCATTATCCGCTGCTTTCGTTTTGCTTGTCTGGTGTTTCATATGTGCAATATAAATTGTCAAAAAAAATGCAATATTCACCATGGGTGTTTAAGTACATATCAACTTTTTCCATGCCTGGTTGCTTTTTTCGGGTTTAAATGTGTGAAACCATTTGGTCAGCAATATATATTAAGCAAATATATATTCCCACCAGCTGAATAAAAATAAGATAGAAGAAATATCTACTCATATTATTCACTACTGCATGATGCTACCGATCATAAAGAAGAGTTTGACACTTTGTTATCGGGAGAGTTGGGAAAACATGTTTGAGATGCATCTCCCCTGCACTGTCCATGTTTGCTTGTATACAGGCCTTGCTAAATGGGTATTTTTCATCTCTTTAGGATTTTAACTGGAACATTTCCCAAAACATTCAAGCTTGTTATGGTCAAATTGCATCAGAGCCGAGTAGAAACTTCTAATGGTTCATGCGAAACAGGATTGACGGGTAGAATGGACAAGATTTAGCTTATTTTTCTTTTTTAATATTTTCTAGTATTGTCCAATCCATCTTGCCAAACAAAGGCATCATCTTTTACCTTCTCGATTCTTTAAAAGGGGCGTTTTCACTAGTCAAAGTGAAAAAAAAAAAAAATGAACTTTAAAATTGTTTGCTTTAGTTTTTTTTTTTTTTTTTTTTTTTTTGCCCTTTTGGTAACTCTGAATCACTTCTTCTTCAGTTTCAAAGAAATCTGCAGTTGCGAATCGAAGAACAAGGAGAACACCTTCGGGTGATGTTTGAACAGCAGAGGAAGATGGAGGAAGAAAAGCTGAAATGCCCATCATGGGAATCGAATGAATCTTCCAAACCGCCTTCTACGGAGAAGCAGCCTTCCCTCCATAAAGAGAAACCAGAATCCTTTGAAGTAAAGGCAGTTTCAACCGATGCCATCATTTCAGCAGCCGAACATCCAAATGACATGCAGAAGTCACCCAAAAGGAAACTTTGTGAGGATAATCAACCGAATAGACCAACGAAACGAGCAAAATCTGATGAAACCGAATCATCTTGATTGACTGTTGGGTTAATTTTGATTTCCTTGTGGTGGAACAACTGGGTTGGCATGGATGGATGGGAGACTGATTTGGACAATGTAGATTTGCTTAAAACTATAAGAAGCAGAATCCATTCTCTCATTTATTTTGTAAATAATCAAGTACTTTTATTCATTCAGTTTACAAAGGAGATTATTAGCTTTGCATTAAAATGGTACTGCTTATGGAATGTAGGAGTATTTAATTGTCTAATCATGGTATCGAGAATTTGAATATTACTGCTAATGGCTTGGTGTTAATTATTAATTGAATTACTATCTTGTCAATACGATTCTATAGGGTCTTTTGGATTCTATTTTTCCAAAGAATCATTTTTCCAAAATTCATTCTCAACAACACGTTCTAACATTCAATAAATATATACTTAAGTCTCAAATTTTTTCTTATTTTGTAATGACACATTCTTCGAAAATTTACCGTTTCAACATATATTCTCTCAAAAATGTGGGTCAAACAGGCGTCTAATGGAATTTGAGTACTTCCCAGCAAAATGTTAACAAGACATAATTTTAGAAGAAAATGATTTTTGTCATGGTTATATATGAACATTTCTTGAATAGCATTAAATAAAATGAGATATTACAGCAAACAAAATTTTAATTTTAATTCATTTGTCCTCTTAGTACTTACTGTCTAATATTATATTATGAAAAGATATAATAATTCGAAAACAATTATATTTTGGGCCCTACTTCTTCGATCTTGTCCGATACTGCTGCAACTCAGTTTAGCAAATCAATTATCTAAATTCAGTTAGTTGTTGAATAAATATTTACAAGTTTAATTTTCAGTTAATTAGGAGAAAAGTCTTCTCTATTCAAGCGATAAAACCTTATAGCCGTTTGAAACGTTTTGATCAATTTTGTTAGTGGATATTGTCAGCTAATCTCAAACGAGTTAGGCTTCGTCACACTCCATATGATTTTTCTATAATTCGAGATAGCACTAGAACTATTGACCTAACATGACGAAACAAGTTGTTACGAATGATCAAGTCAAAGTTGCTTCAAAATCTCTAGTATCAACTAAGTCTCATTGACATTATAATGCAACAACAATTACTAAACCATCTACTAATAGTAACCAAATTCATTATCCAATACAAAGCGACTTTTTTGATAATGAACTTAAGCTCATTATCCAATAACTGTTTTTGTGGATATTCAGATAATTTAAAGTTTGATGTTGCACAAGCAAGCATTATTTAGTAATTAATCCTAGTTGAACTTTGAATAATTTGATCAATCTAAACAAATTACAAATCAATACATGAAATGATCAAATATTTCTTTTTGAATGATTAGAAAGGCAATTCCTCATAAGGAAACTCAAGGATCACAAAATGTTTTCGACACTTTCTTTTCCCATAAAAAGTGGGTATCTCTAACTCTTATTTGATGAAAACAAACAAGTAATTGTAATTTGTTGCGACTTTTTCATCTAACTACTTGAAAATAGTGAATGCACACAAAGATCGATTTAGAATTCAAATATGAAATGGATATTAGGGAATAAAAATTTCATATATTGATCACCTTTAAATCTTAATTCAAGATTCACAAGTCTAATGTAGTGTTCGATCAAATTCTTCTATTGCATTCAATTTACTTCTCTCGAGTTCTTATTGAGTCTATTTAACTAATTCAATAACATATCTCTAGGTAAATCAATTTTAGTTAAGCAAAATATTACTTCTAAGAATTCATATAAGACTGTAATAATTAGCATATATATCTCTACACCTTATACTAAATTACTTGATTTTAACATATGATCTAAATCTAAAACTCACCTCTCGATTCATAACATTCACACAATCATTGAATTATTGATCAAGTAATTCAAAGCATTAAATACATAATTAAAATCAACTTATACATAATGAAAAAACTTAAATCTTGAATAAAAAAAAAAAATAAAGAGTCTTAATAGATTACATTGTTTGCCCTTAAAAATAAAAAGAAAAAAAAAAAGAAAAAAAAGAAAGAAAGATTTGCATTGATTACATTACGGGGTTTTGAATTGAGATCTAAAGAAGTGGGTGAATCTTGCTCCGTGTTACTCTTCTTGTTCCAAATCTTGATTCCAAACTCTTAATTTCCTTTTTTCTTCTTTGATTTTTGTTTTCTAATTCTCCAAATTGTGTTCTATGTCTCTTAATGTGTAATCCTTCAAAAGTACTCCCATTCTTATATTTTATACTTCTCCCCACGTTTATGCCAAATGTAAAGTTTTTATAGACTTCAAAACAAGCAAAAAATTGGGCATTGTGCTGCGTCATAATTCAGGAGAGGGTGCGACGCTACAACTCTGCCCATTTTGTTTCTCTCTTTGGTGTCACCTCTTGGATAGATTTCTTCTTTTTTCCTTATTTTGATATAATAAATTGACTCTTTTGCCCTTTTTCTTCTCCTTTTCGCTTCTTTTTATTCCAAGCCATTTGTTTTCTCAACCTTTACCATTATTAACACCACCGCACCAAACTTATAAATAAAAATAATAAACACATTAAAAATGTTGATATATGGTTGATTATAGACTTAAAATTTTGATTATTACAAACAAGTTAATCTAATTTACTAACGATTGAATTTAAAGGATTATAGTCTTTAAAGCATCCAATGATAAATCGATCGATCATCATTAAAAAAAAAAAAGATCAAGACTACCACAAATCGGACTCAAGAAGAAGGTCAAAATCAAGGTCAGGCATTTAAGACAAATCCTTGAAGAAAAGATCTTAAATGACAAACATCAAAGAAGCTTCAAGATCAAGAGTTAAAAGCAAAACTTCAAAGAAAGATCAAGACAAGAACCTAAAAGCCAAACATCGAAGAAAGATCAAAGACTAGATTTCTTAGTTCAAATGTACTAATACTTTTATATTTAACAATGAATGATAGACGCTCAAAAATCATTTTGGGCACTAAAAACTATTTTGATTATAACTTGCATAAAATATCTTGATCAAAAGCAAAATTGATTTTCAAAATTATAGTTGAACTTAGATTGTATTTTTAAAACATCATTTGCCGTGACAACTAGTTAAAAACTCCTACTAAAAGTCTAAATTTGTCAAAGTATTCAAATTGGATCAAATGGAGTAAAAAAAAGGGGAAAATCGGCTGAAATGGTCCGACGTTCGTCTGAGCATGCAGACGTCCAGATGCTCGTCCGGATCCCCAAAACATTTTGTAAAATCTTTCTCTATAAATTAGTAAAAAGTGAATGTCTGGTTGATGCAGCGTTCGTATTTTTAACTATTAGATTTCATATGCATAAAAGCTATTTTGGTCATTCGGATCTAAAGGCGAACGTCCGATTGATTGCTCGGTTCAATAGAGTAGTTTACCTTTTGAACTCTATAAATACTTTCATTCTTTCCATTCTTTACAAGGAGAGTTTCAAGAGCAATAAGTGAATATATTTCGATAGAGTGCATTAAGCCTACATTAATTCATGTCATTTATTTCTTCATATAAAAAATTTTGATTAATTCAAATTCTTTTCATCATCTTATCAAAGTTTATTATCCCTCTTTTAGTACTTAACTTATTTCTATCATTCATAAAAGTGAGATATATTTTGAAAGAAAATTTTTGAACTTACATTACATCTAATTCTTCTACTTCTTTACAAAACTTTGATTGATTGAATCAAATTTGAAAAAATTTTATATTCATCAAAGGTTTTTATCTCTCTCTTGGTACCTAATTTATTGTGTTTATTCATTAAAAGATAGAAATACTCTGAGAAGATTTTGAACTTAAATTGCACCATTTCCTCTTCATCTTCTCATTGAAAAAGCTTTGATTGATAGAATCAAACTTTTAGTTATCATATTCATCAAAGTCTTCATCTAACACTTGAGTTATCATTTGTTGCTATTCATTAAAGTGTTAGCCTTCCTTAGTGCTTAATTCATTTGTATCATTTATCAAGAAAGATGTTCATCGTGAAATTAGTTTGTTATACTTGTGGGTCATATTGAGATCCCGTAAAACTCAATATTGTATTAGGACTGGTGTTCCTTATTTTTAAGTCACCAAAAGCATTGTAAGGGTTGGATTATACCATAAGTCAATTAATATAGTGAAAAGTCCTTGCTCACACCGAAGAACTTGGTAAGAGAGGATGTAAATAATTGCCTTGAATCGAACCTACACAATTATATCATTTGCAACCTCTATTCCTTTTACTTGTAGTTCTCATATTTGTGTGTATATTATTTGAATTAATCTATTTAGCCTTTAACTTCTTGAATTTAGTTTAATTCTTCGAAAAATGTTAAAAACCAATTCATCCCCATCTTGGTTAGTTATTCTTGGGCTATCAATTGGTATCAGAGTTAGGTACTCACTTTGAACTTAAAGATTTTAAAAATCTTGAGCAATGGCTAACCATAATTTTCAAAATCTTGAAGGGCGCTCTACACATTGTCCTCCCATCTTTGATGGTACACATTATAATTGTTGAAAAGCTAGAATGATGATTTGTGTTCAATCAATAGATTATAATGTTTGGAGAATTATTGAATTTGGTCCCTATATGCCTAAAAAGGTTATTAAAGTTGTTGATAAGTCGGATCAAGTCATTCCAAAATCTAGAGAAGAGTACGATGATGAAAATTTATCATTAAACACTAGAGCCAAAAATATACTTTATCGTGCTTTGAATAGAAATAAATTTAATCATATTAGCATATGTGATTCCATTTTTTATATTTGGAATGCCTTACGAAGTTACTCATTTGGGCCCTAATAAAGTAAAGGAAACCAAGATAAATCATTTGGTTAAGGAATTTTAAAATATCTTTATGAAACAAAACTAACCTATTGTTAATACGATTAATTGCTTCACTGATATTTTTAAAGGCCTTAAAGGTTTTGATCGTAAATTTACTAATGGTGAGATTGTAAGTAAAATGCTTTGGTCACTTTCGAAAGATGAAGCTATTTGAGAATGTTGATAGATAACTCAAAAGATATCAAAACATATCTACTGGAAGAGTTCTATGGAACGTTGATGACACATGAGTTAAATCGCACCTAGACAAAGGAAAAAATAATGAAAATCAAAGAAGAAGAAAAGCGTCAAATTGCTTTAAAGTCGGTAATGGATGAAGGCACTTCAAGCAAAAATATAAATGATGAGGAACTTGATGACCTAGTTCTTCTCGACAAAAATTGGAGGGGTCTTTGCAACAATTGGCGATTTTAAAAGAA